ATGCGGAAACATCTCCAGTTTTAGTTCAGTGTAGGAAGTTGAATACTAAAAAGAAGGCTGCATTGTACCTAGTACGGAGCATTCGGATTGGAAAAAAAGTGCTGCATTAGCAAAGACTTATTGTCTGGGCAATTTGTGGATTACAGTGCAGTAAAATGAGGAACTAGTCTGGCCTATTGGATTACTTTAATTCTTTCTATTAGCACTGACTCATAGGGCAGGGCATTCAGATGCAGTGAGTAGTTACAAATCAGCAATGCGGATCTCTTGTTTCTGTAGAATACCCTAATAAAATAGTGTAGTTTTACTTGCATGTTCTTTTGGATTATATGATCTCTTTGTAAGTGCACAACTTTATGGTTGTCACACCTTGTCTTTGATCATGTACATTTAATTATTAATCCAGAGGTCCAGGTGGTGTTCTGGGGACTTGGGTCCAAATCCTGCACAGGGAGATGGTGGAATTTGAATTCAGTAAAATTCTGGAATTAGGAGTCTAACAATGACCATGAAATCATTGATGTCAGAAAACCCCATCTGGTTCACCTCATTTTGAGGAAGGAAAATGATATCTGGTCTGGCCTGCATGTGACTCAACAACAATGTGATTGATGGTAAACTTCCCTCTGGGAAGTTAGGGCTGGGCAATTAATGCTTTTCTTTTTTTAAGAAAATCAATCTCTATTTATCACAGTCTGTACAGAGCCTTACTACCTGTGGTATTTTTGTGCAATTCTGTCATTTATTCTGTTTTAAACAGTTTTAGCTGTGATCTAGAATAGGGAGTTTGTCTCTTGTGTAGCAGTATGAATGGGACTAGTAACTGGATTCCACACTCCCATGTGTAATGAATTGACTCAACATTGTGTACTGTATCTCGGAAAGAAGCATTCAAAATGAACATACAGATGACTGGCATGCTTGTTTTTGTATCTTTGCCCTTTTGTTTTGGAAAACCAAGGAAATAGCAAATTCATGGGCTGAACAGCACAACAAGCCAGGATGCAAACCCCTCCCTGTTGTCTATCCCATTAGCTGATCTAAAGATGGCTAGCTTCTTAAAAGCTGGAAATATAATATGGGTTCTTGTAACTGGCATTAGGGAAAAGGACACCCACACCCACTAAATGAGAGCATTCTGTTGGTGTTATATGTTCTTGATCTGCTGTAAAACTAACTAGGTTTGCAGGTGGTCTGAGGAATTTGTACTAGGTATCAGTGACAGTTTGGTCTTGTGTCTTTGGAAGTACGTTAGTTATTCGCTTATCCATCCCGTTTATGAACCAAGCAGAACTGCAGCTAAGGTCTCTAGTAATGTAGAGTTATTAATAGCCATGGTTTTTTTCCTAGGTATTCATGATTTCGGTACAGTACTAATTGATTCGTGCCCTATAAATACCGATCCTCTCAACATTTCTAGTGTGTAGATGACACCAAGTGGTAGTTAAAGTGTGCTGCATGAATTGAGCAACCTAGCTGCCATTGCTTTCTCCCTGACTACCTGCTTAAAGATCTTTCTAATCAACCTGTTTGAAGATATAGATCTGGAGCAGGTGGAACTCAAACCTTGGATCCTAGCTCAGGTAGTTGCATCAGACAAACCAAAGGTTAAACGAGTTAAACCCAAGATCCAAATAAAGGTAAATGTCGTCATTATCTCCTAATATTTATTTTAATAAACCAGTTATGATGCATTTCCGGAGGAGGTGGGACTTAGAAGCATGGAAATAGGACCAGAAGTAAAGGCTATTCAACTGAGTCTGTCCATCACTCAGTATGATCCTTGCTGATCCTGCAATTCAGTATCCTGTTTTCTCCATACTTGATCTCTTTAGTCCTAAGAACTATATCTATCTTATGATGGATAGATAGAGTCCTACAGCACAGAGACAGGCCCTTCAGCCCAAACTGGTCCATGCCGACCAAAATGTCCATCCACGCTAACCTCATTTCCCTGCACTTGACCCATATCCTTCTAAACCTTTCCTATTCATGTATTTGTCCAAATGCCTTTTAGTTCTTGAAAACATTGTGTTTTGGCTTCAACCACTCTTAGAGAATTCTGCAGGTTCACACTCTAAATGAAGAAATTTCTTCTCGGCAGTCCTATGTGGCCTATCCCAAACTTGAACCTCGGCCTACTGGCTTAAAGGTGAGACACTGCAACACTACAAGAGCCCCTCAGATATTAAGAACTGCCGATGCTGGAGTCAGAGATAAGTGTGGAGCTGGAGGAACACAGCAGGCCAGGCAGCATCAAAGGAGCAGGAAAGCTGATGTTTTGGGTCAGGACCCCGACCCAAAACATAAGCTTTCCTGCTCCTCTGAAACTACAAGAGCCCTTTATACTTTTGAGTCTTGTGCAGTAATTTGAAATGGAAGTTTTTGAGGGGCAACAATACTTTTTCCTCTAACTTCTACCTCCACTTTAAAGATTTCATGTCTAGAAGTTGTAACTAGTTTCGTCTAGAATTCTTACCCAGTAGCTAATATTACAATTTAGACAGCGTCACAGGCAAATGGGTTAAAGTAAGCTAGGTCCAGAATTGTGTTGGGAACAGGGATAACTGCACCTGGACTTAATGATTGGTGAAGGTTTGTAGGCCAGAGGAGAGTGAAGTTTTCAGGATTAATTTTCCTGATTGTTACAACAGAGGGTGCTGAAGAACGGATGTGGACCAAATGCTGGCAAATGGGCTTAGGTCAAATTGGGATTTCTGTTCATCACGAATGAGTTGGACTGAAGGGTCTGTTTCTGTGTTGTATGACCAAGATGTTGTATTTGGGCAAGTTGGAGCTTTAGTTACAAGAGGCTTGACTAACTAGGCCTGTTTGCATTAATGTCAGGGTACCAGGGAAGCCTGATATTTGTGAAGAGTTTTATCATGTAAGTCCAGGAACAGCTTTCTACTGGTAAGCTTTGAGGGCAAGAAATTAATTAAAGAGAAAAGGTTAGGAAAATGTCCTTTTTATGCAAACCATTAATTTAAAAGGTCAAACTGGGTGTCACTGAGCAAGTTCTGCTTGATGGCACTGTTGATGACACCTTCAATCACTTTATTGATGATCAAGAGTAGACTGGGGCAGTGATTGGCTGCATTGAATTTCCTTGTTGTAGGGATTCTACTTGCCTGGGCAGTTTTCCACATTATCAAGAAGGTGCCAGTGTTGTACTGTACTAGAACAGCTTTGCTAGGGGTGTGGTAAGTTCTGCCGCACAAGTCTTCAGTACTACTATTAGAATGTTGTCAGGACCCATCATCTTTGCAGTATCCAGCTCCCCCAACTGTTTCCTAGGTGGAGTGAACTGAATTGGTTGAAGACTGGCATCCATGATGCTGGGGAGCACATGGAGGAGGCAGAGCTGGCTCATCCACTTGACACTTCCGGCTGAAGATTGCTGAGAGTGCATCAACCTTGACTTTTGTACTCGTGTGTTGGGCTTTTCCATCATTGAGGATTGGGATATTTGTGGAGCTGCTGCTTCTAGTGAGTTGTTTAATTGCCCACCACCATTCACGACTGGAAGTGGATCCAATTCACTAGTTGAGGGATTGCTTAGCTGTGTCTGTCACTTGCTGCGTATGCATTTGGAAGTAGTCTTGTTTGGTAGCTTTACCAGGCTGACACCTCATTTTTAGTTATTCAAGTTGTTGCACTTGGCATGCTCTCCTGCACTGTCCATTGAACCAGAGGTTGAGCTCCTGGTTTGATGGTAACGGTTGAGTGGGAGGGTATGCCAGGCTGTGGGGTTGCAGATTGTGCTGTTGATGGTCCCGTGTCTCATGGGTGCCCAGTCTTGAGTTGCTAGATCTGTTTGAATTCTGTCCTGTTTAGCATGGTATCAGTGCCACACAACATGGAGGGATTGCTCAATGTGAAGGTAGGATTTGTCTTCACTAGAACCATGTGGTCGCCACTCATACTGATACTGTCATGGACAGATGCATCTGCAGCTGGCAGACTGGAAAGGATGATGCAAAGTTGTTCCCCCCCTTCCTCCTGCCTTTGGTTCCTTCACTTGCTGTAGACTCAGTCTAGCAACTAAGTGCAAAGGTGAAAAGTTATTAGTTCTGAATTTTTGGTCATGTTTAATAATTACGCATTTTGAAACTGTCAATTTATTGCTTTGATATTTTGCTCAAGCATGTCATATTTCCTTCATGCCTTAACTTTTGTGCTAAAATTCATGTTTCATATCTTTCTGAAATTTGGTCATCTGCCCCTTGGTAGAAAAATCCATGTGCCCTTGCGTGAATTGGTCAGACAACCATAGTCTAGTGCATCAAGATAGGAAGAGGCTGGCATGTGAGAATGTTAATTGTATAAGTATAGTCTAGGGTAGAGATTTGGGGAGGAATAGGTGGGAGGTGTAAACCTCGTTCCTTGAAAAAGGATCTGAGTGCTTATTTTAAGTTAATTATCGTGGAGTTGAGTACTTGTGGGTATTTGACCAATATATGGGTGTGGTGAACTCAGCATTTTATAGGGTGGCTATTATGCAATGCTCGTTTGTTCTGGAACTAATTGTAAGCAAAAGTTTGGCCTTGCAGGTAATTGTCTTGCTGTAGGATGAAAGCCATGTTGAGACAAATACCTGCAAAACAGTTCAACTTAAATCCTCTGCTTTTCATGTAAGTTAATGGGAATGTCTCTAACTGGTGTTAAATTGGAGTTCAGAATAATGAATGAAGTCTGGAGATTACGTGATGTTATAATAGAATAACATCTGGGCCATGAATGGGATACCAGAAATGTAAACCTAGTTTGAGCTCAACAAATAATGGATTAGTTTGGCAGATTGAGTTTAGACACATGGCATTGGTGAATGCAGGTTTTTATTCGAAACCTACGCTATTCTGTAGTATGTTGGAAGTTGGACTTTCAGGATCATCTGGATTTATTACTTCCTCAGTAAAGAAGCCTGAATCATCTTAACAATTACTTCATAATGCAGTGGCCATCGCCAGTTACTTCATTTTGTTTCTTTCCTGCCACAGAAATGGTGGAATCAATGAAGAGGGTAGCTGGCATGGACGTAGAGTTGACGGTTGAGGAAAGGAATTTACTGTCTGTGGCCTATAAAAATGTGATTGGAGCACGGAGAGCATCCTGGAGGATAATCAGCAGTATTGAACAAAAGGAGGAAAACAAAGGTGGAGAGGACAAACTAAAAATGATCCGTGAATACAGAAAAACGGTAAGCCCATAGCGAACTGTGGAGTTACTTAAAACAGCCAGTTTACAGGCACTAATTTACTTGTTTCTTGGTAGCAGTGTGATTACTCAGCATGCAGCGGGTTTAAGGTGGTGCCTATCCATATTTGTTTCTTTTTTTTTTTAAAAAATTTCCATTTTTACTGTTAGCATCCAACAAAATTGTGCATCAAAGAAAATTAAGAAGTAACAAATGGTAACCTTCAGGCAAGGTGATAGAGGGAGTACCATTGTGGAATGATCTGATGCTGTTGTCCCACATATAAATTAACTTTTAAAGTTTTGTTTGTGAGATGGTGTCACTGGCTGACCCAGCATTTATTGGCCCTCCCTAATTGTCCTTGAGGGTGCTGGTGAGCAGTCTTGAACCACTGCAGTCCTTCGGGTGTAGGGATACTCAGTTCTATTGAAAAGTATTCTGGAACTTTTCTGCCCTATGGGTTGCTCCAAGAAGCCATTAGTTCTCCAGGTAACTGGAAATGTAATGACAGCAGTCTTGCTGGCAAATGGCATAGCTCAGTATTTTTTTTTTAGAAAGAAGCAGCAATATCCAGACTGTTGTCCTTCAATTATTTTCTAACAAAAGCAGCGAGTGTGATAATCAAATATATTGTCTTGTGTTTTTAAAACTATTATTGCAAGGTCTCATGCTCAGGAATTTCATGAACTAAAATACCAAAGGCAAGGAAATTGCTGTAAATGTTCAGCAAGTCTAATAGCATCTGTGGAGCAAGAATTGAGTGTTAAAATTCCTGGGCAAAGACTTCTTGACAACTTCTGAAAGATAATTGATCTGAAACAATAACTCTGTTTTTCTTTCCAGATGATGCCTGACCAGTTGAATATTTCCAGTATTTTATGGATAAGTTAATATGCAGTCACTAAATCATTGTACTTTTGTTCTTGTTGAAGCGGTGCTGTTTTGTCATCGCAGAATAATTGACTTCTAATAAGAGTAACATTTTACTAAATTCCAACAAATGTTGATTTTTACAATTTACTTGATTATTCCCAACACCGAAGTACTCTGTTCACCAACTTAACACATGTCCCGAACTTCAGTCAAATAATGAATCCTTTTCTCAATCCCTGAACTTTTTCTTCCTTCGTCAGTTAGCAAACACCACGTTTTCTAGCCATGGTACACAGGGTGTATCATGCTGAATGGCCTGTACAGTTAGAGCCCTTTATTCACTGTACAATGAAGTTATTGCTTATACTTTTCACCAAACTTATGAACTTCTAAGTTTGAATCTTCATACATTTTTTAAGTCAGTACCATAAACTAGTTGCTAATTGGAATTGGATGAAAGTGAAACTGAGTCCCAGTGTAATGTTACAGATTGCCAAGAAGTTAATTCACTAAAGCAACTGACATTTATGCACTATACAAATGTAAACAAAAATGTCAGACATTTCACAGGAATATTATCAACATATTTAACATCAAGGTATGCCACGGGTTACTATAGAAGATCACCAAAAATATGGTCAGAGGATATTTCCAGAAGGCATGTGACAAGGTGCTATATAAAAGGTTATTGCGCAAATTAAGAACTCATGGTGTAAGGGTGACATATTTATCATAGAAGATTGACTAGCTGGTAAAATGGAGTATACTCTGTGAGAAGTGGAGTCTCACATGGGTCTCTGCTGGGTTCTTAACATTTTGCAATTGATATTTTTGTATCAATGACTTAGGTGAAGAAAACAAAGGTATGGTGGCTAAATTTACAGATGACACCAAGAAAGGTAGCACAGTGGCTCAGTGATTAGCACTGCTGCATCACAGCATCAGAGACCTGGGTTTGATTCTGCCCTCTGTGGAGTTTGCACATGCTCCCTGTGAATGCATGGGTTTTGTCTGGGTTGGGTTTCTTGCCACAGGCCAAAGATGTGCAGGTTTAGTGGATTGGCCATGCTAAATTGCCCATGGTGTCTAGGGATGTGTGGGATAGGTGGATTAGCCATGGGAAATGCAAGGTTAAGGGTAGGGTATGGGGGTTGGGTCTGGGTGGGATGCTGTTCGGAGGATTGGTGTCGACTTGGGCTGAATGGCCTGCTTCCACACTGGAGGGATTCTATGATAGGTAGAAGATTATGCCATGAAAGTGACATAACAAGGATGTAGAACAATCTAATTTCATGAGTAGATAAAAATCTGGCAGATGGAGCATAAAGTGGGAAAATCTGAAGTTCTTTACTTCGGCAGGAAGAATGAAAAGGTTTCGAAGAGGAATGACTGCCAAATTCTAAAGTGCAGAAGGATCTAGGTGCTCCAGTGTAAGAGTCAAAGGCTAATGTGATTATATCCTTTGTTATGACAGGACTTTTACATAAAAGTAAGGATGTGATGTTTCAGTTATACAGAGCACTGATGAGGCAACTTCTGGAATACTGTCCTTAATTTAGGAAGGATGTAATTGCATAGGGAGCAGTTCAGAGGAGGCTTACTAGATTGATACCTGGAGTGAACTGGTTATTTTGGGAGGAAAGATTGGACATGCTGGGCTGATTCATATGAAGATTAATTTGAAGTGTACAAAATAATGATCTTGATGACTTGGGCACAGAAAGGATGTTTATCCTTGTGGGCTGCACTTCCTCTAATTTTTCCTGCCACCTCTGAGGTGTGTGACTGGCTGCAACTTCCAGAACTGGAAGTCAAAAGAACAAGAGAAATACAGTACAGCAAAAGGCTCTTTGGCCCTCCAAGCCTGTGCAATCACCATACCCTAACTAATCTAAAAAAAAAACACCTCTGCCCTTATTTGGTCTGTATCCCCCTATTCACTCCCTATTCATGTAACCATCCAGATGCCTCTTAAATGTCGCCAACGTGCCTGCTTCATCCGCCTCTATTTTGGCAGTGCGCTCCAGGCTCCTACCGCTGTGCATGAAAAATTTGCCTTGCGTGTCTCCCTTAAACTCTCTCTCTCTCTCTCTCTCCCCCCCCCCCCCCCAAACCTCACCTTGAACCTGTTCCCCTTGTAATTGAAACGTCACCCCTGGCGGGGAAAAAACCTATCTATGCAACTCAATTTTATAGATCTATATCAGGTCTCCCCTCAGCCACTGTCTTTCCAGTGAAAACAGTCCTAGTCTTTTTAACCTTTCCTCATAGCCAGTGCCGTCAAGGTCAGGCAACGTCCTGGTGAACCTTCCCTGCACTCTCTCCAAAGCTTCCATTTCCTTCTGGTAGCGTGGCGACCAAAACTGCATACAGTACTCCAAATGTGGCCTAACAAGGGTTTTGTGTAGCTGCAACATGGTTTGCCAACTCTTGTACTCCATGCCCTGGCAGATGAACGCAAGCATGCCATATGCCGCCTTAATCACCTTCGCCACCTATGTAGCCACTTTTAGGGAAATGTGGGCCTGCATGTCCAGATCTGTCTGTATGTTAATGTTCCTAAGGATTCTATTATTTGTAAAATAATTCACACCTAATTTTGATCTTCCCAAGTGTATCACCTTGCATTTGCCTGGATTAAACTCCATCTGCCATTTCTGTGCCCAAGTCGCCAATCTATCTGTATCCTGTTGTATCCTTTCACAATCGTCGGCACTGTCAGCAACTCCACCAATCTTCTTGTCATCTGCAAGCTTACTAATCAGACCATTGATATTTTTCTCCGGATCATTTATATATACTACAAACAACATACAACCCAAGACTGATTCCTGTAAAACGCCACTAGTTACTGGTCTCCATTCTGAAAAACATCCTTCCATTGCTACTTGAGTTCTAAGGAAGGGTCACCAGACCTGAAACGTTAACTGATTTTTTTTTCTTCACAGATGCTAACAGAGCTGCTGAGCTTTTCCAGCAACTCTGCTTTTGTTCTCCCACTGCTACCCTCTGTCTTCTATAACTAAGCCAGTTTTGTATCCATCTAGCCAGCCCACCCCTAATCCCTGTTTTAGTTTTGTTTTAATCTGCCAGTAAGGCATTTGATAAAGACCCACTTGAAGTCTACATAAACTGCATCCTCTGCCCTTCATTATCAATTATCTTTGCCACCTCTTCAAAAAATTTAATCAGATTGGTGAGACATGATATTTCCCATACAAAATCATGCTTGTTACTAACGAGTCCATTGTCTTGTTTTGTCCCGCAATATCTTCTCCAAGAGCTTCACCACCACAGGTGTCAGGGTCTATAATTTCCTGGATTTTCCTTGCTTTCATTCTTAAACATGGCAACAACATTGGCTGATCTCCAGTCTTCTCTCTGACCACAAGCGAGGTTCTAGGATGTGAACGTAGTTGTTAATGCCCCAGCTATTTCTTCCCTTGCCTCTCGCAGCAACCTAGAATAGATCCCATCTGGCCCTGGGGACTTGTTTACCTTTAATGCAGTTTAGGATACCCAAAACTTCCCCCTTCAATATATTAACATTCACACACTCATCCCTGACCTCCACATCAGTCATGTCCTTTTCCTCTGTGTACGATACAAAGTAGTCATTAAGGATCTCCCACTTCCTGTGGCTCCATGCATAACTTCCCTGCTTTGTCCTTGAGTGGGCCTACTCCTTCCCTTGCTACCCTCTTTCTTCTAATATATGCCTAAAAAGCCTTGGGATTCTCCTTGACCCTATTTGCTGAAGACGTTCCCCAGCCCCGTTTAGCATTCCTAATTCTGCCTTTTAAGTTCCTTTCTAATTTCTGTATACTCCTCAAGGGCATTGTCAGTTTGCAGCTGCCTAGATGAATCGTATGCTTCCTTTTTCTTTAGACTAATCTTACAATTTACCTTGTCATCCACAGTTCCTGAATCCTGTCATTCCTGTCCTTCAATTTTGCAGGGACATGCATGTCATGGTCTTTAAAAGCCTCCCACATCCCAGATGTAGATTTGCCCTCAAATAACTGCTCCCAGTCCACATTCCTGAGTTTCTGTCTAATTTGGATATAACAGGCCCTTGCCTGAGGGCCGCTCTTGTCCTTCTCCATGACTACTTGAAATCTTGTGGAGTT